TACTTAGTCAGGAAAATGGACAGTGGGGTCATGGTGCAGACTGGACACTTCCCCATCACAGAGGGTTCGCCTGGCAGGCATGCCCTCCCCTTATTCACCTGTCAACTTCCTCCTCCTGCTGCAACCCCAAATCACAAATGGTGCCTCCTCCTGGAAGCCTTCTGGATTCCTCTCTGCTGTCACCATTTGCTCCCTTCTCTGCGCTCTGCAAACTATACTACAGCAACATCATCATCTGGTTCTTATTGCGCAGGTCTGTTCCGGCTCTCCCACCACTGACTGCGAGTTTCTGAAGCCCTGGGAGCTGCCTTCAGTAGAGGAGGCCCTGCGCTCAGCCGCTGCGGGTCGACCTCTGAAGGCCAGGCCAGAAGGAGAGGAAATGTGGCACGGCTTGGCAGTTCCCAGATGCGCGCGCACGCCCAGGTGCGCACGCTCTGCAGGAGCTAGTGGTGGCCGGGCAGTCTTGGCTGAGACTTATTTGCTCAGCTTCGGTGCGCACAGGCCCTGCGATGCCAACCTCCTGGTCCCGCCCTCCCGCCGCAGGCGCCCGCGCCTGGGCCGCTCACAAGCCTTCGACTCTTCCCGGACTCCAGACCCCAGACAGCTCCGCTCGACCCTGCGGATGACGGAGAGAAAGTTCCTTACAAGCCCCTTACTTGGGGCAAGATAGGAGGTACCACCTGGGGCGGGGCCTGGCTCCCCACTGAGCAGAGGTGTTGGCCAAGGCCCTCCCCCTAGTGGTAAGTACTCCCTTTGTTCCCCCTCGTAGCCGCTGCCAGATGACTCCGCCCCACGTCGGAAGCAACCTCGGAAACCTGCCTACCTGTTTCATGCCCGCCCCCTACAGCCTTTCCTCTCGGCAGCCCAGGGAGCTTTAAAAATACAAACCACAGTCCAGGCGCGGTGGCTCACGCCTGTAATCCCAGCACTTTGGGAGGCCGAGGCGGGTGGATCACGAGGTCAAGAGATCGAAGAGATCGAGACCATCCTGGTCAACATGGTGAAACCCTGTCTCTACGAAAAATACAAAAAATTAGCTGGGCATGGTGGCGCGTGCCTGTAATCCCAGCTACTCGGGAGGCTGAGGCAGGAGAATTGCCTGAACTCAGGAGGCAGAGGTTAACGGTGAGCGGAGATCGCGCCATTGACTCCAGCCTGGGTAACAAGAGCGAAACTCGTCTCAAAAAAAAAAGCAAACCACAGGGCTGGGCGCGGTGGGTCAACCCTGCAATCCCAGGGCTTTGGGAGGCGAGGCGGGAGGATCATAAGGTGAAGAGTTCAAGACCAGCCTGGCCAATATGGTGAAACCCTGTTTCTATTAAAAATACAAAAATTAGCTGGGCATGGTGGCGCGCACTTGTAGTCCCAGCTATTTGGGAGGCTGACGCAGAAGACGCGCTTGAACCTGGGAGGCAGGGGTTGCAGTGAGCTGAGATTGCAACACTGCACTCTGGCACTCCTGCCTGGGTGACAAAGTGAGACACTGTCTCAAAAAAAAAAAAAAAAAAAAATGCCGGCACAGTGGCTCACGCCTGTAATCCCAGCACTTTGGGAGGCCGAGGCGGGTGGATCACGAGGTCAAGAGATCGAGACCATCCTGGTCAACATGGTGAAACCCCGTCTCTACTAAAAATACAAAAAATTAGCTGGGCATGGTGGTGAGTGCCTGTAATCCCAGCTACTCAGGAGGCTGAGGCAGGAGAATTGCCCTAATCCAAGAAGCAGAGGTTGCAGTGAGTCGAGATTGCGCCATTGCACTCCAGCCTGGGTAAGGAGAGCAAAACTCTGTCTCAAAAAAAAAAAAAAGCAAATTTCATCGCATCACTTCATGTGGGCCCGGTGCAGTGGCTCAGGCCTGTAGTCTCAGCCCTTTGGGAGGCCAAGGTGGAGCCTGGCCAAGATGGTGAAACCCCCGCCTCTACTAAAAATATAAAAATTAGCCGGGTGCGGTGGCAGAAGCCTGTAATCCCAGGTACTCGGGAGGCCAAGGCAGGAGAATCGCTTGAACCTGCGGGCAGAGGTTGCAGTGAACCAAGACTGCACCACTGTACTCCAGAAACCCAAGCCTGGTGCAGTGGAAGGCACCTGCAGTTGTCACTGAGGTGGGAGGATCACTTGAGCTCAGGGGTGGAGGCTGCAGTGAGCTGTCATCGCACCACTGCACTCCAGCCCCAGTGACAGAGAGAGAAAAAAAAACAAAAAACCCCCAAACCCCTGATCAGTGAAGCACATGACCTGCACACTTCCTTTTTTTTTTTTTTTTTTTTTTTGGTGAAGACGGGGTTTCACTATGTTGGTCAGGCTGGTCTTGAACACCCAACCTCAGGTGATCCGCCCACCTTGGCCTCCAAAGTGCTTGGATTACAGGCGTGAGCCACCACACCTGGCCTGCACACTTCCTTTCTGACCTCACCTCTTGTCCCACCGGCTCCTATTCATGCCCTTCCAGCTGCACGGGTTCCTTTCCTCAAATCCACCAGGCCTGCTCCTGCCTCAGGGTGACCCATTTACTGTGCCCACGGCTGGCCTTCCCCCAGATGGCTCCCTCCCTGGCTTCCTGCACATGACCTCCTCAGCAAGGCCTCCCCATCCCTCTGTGATATCCCCACCAGTCTCAGCTTTCTTCCTAGCACCTGTCACCCGGCATATCTGTTTATAGTTGTTTCACTAGCAATAGTGTTAAGTCCCCCAAAGTGGAGGTTGTGTATGTCTTCTTCACTGTTATATTCCCCAGTGCCTAGAACAGGACTAGGACATAGTAGATGCTTCATTAAAAATTGTTCCATGGATTCCTTTTTTTGGATGGAGTTTCACTCTTTTTTTTTTTTTTTTTTTTTTGAGATGGAGTTTCGCTCGTTACCCAGGCTGGAGTGCAATGGCGTGATCTCGGCTCACCGTTAACCTTGCCTCCTGGGTTCAGGCAATTCTCCTGCCTCAGCCTCCTGAGTAGCTGGGATTACAGGCATGCGCCACCATGCCCAGCTAATTTTTTGTATTTTTAGTTGAGATGGGGTTTCACCAGGATGGTCTCGATCTCATGACCTCATGATCCACCCGCCTCGGCCTCCCAAAGTGCTGGGATTACAGGCTTGAGCCACTGAGCCCGGCCTGGAGTTTCACTCTTGTTGCCTTAGGTTGGAGTGCTATGGCACAATCTTGGCTCATTGCAACCTCTGACACCCGGGTTCAATCGATTTTCCTGCCTCAGCCTCCCGAATAGCTGGGATTACAGGGGCCCACCACCATGCCCAGCTAATTTTTTTATACTTTTAGTAGAGACAGGATTTCACCATGTTGGTCAGGCTGGTCTTGAACTCCTGACCTCAGGTGATCCACCTGCCTGGTCCCCAAAGTGCTGGGATTACAGGTGTGAGCCACTGTGCCCAGCCCCATGGATTCTTTGAGAACCTTCTATGAGCCAAGCAGCTCTTCATTCAGCTCACATGAGAAGCCTGTGATTCACCCATTGCATAGATGTGGAGGCTGAGATTCAGAGAGGTATGAGACTTGTCTGCCATCATATGAGTTCGCTGCAGTGGGAGCCAGGTTTCAACCCAGCTGAGTCTCTCCCCTCTGCCTCTCTGTTTTCCAGCTCATCTCCCAGCTGGAGAACAATGCAGCTGGTTTTGCCCTCCCTTCACCCTAGCGTAGGCGAGACTGACTCCCAGTGACCCCAGGCAGGGCCTGAGGCACCATCTCCCCAGGAGGTCTTGGCCAGGAGGACAAAGGAGGGGAATCACACAGTGTCCTGAGGTCGGCGGGCCCACCTTTAGCCCTGCCCACATTTTCCTGGGACCACCCACCCTGACCCACAGCTCCTAAATGAGCCAACCTACTGCCTTCCTTTCAGCCACCAGAATCCCTAAACTCTCTCAGAATGGACTTGGGTACCTCTTTGCTTTTGCCTTCATCCCATCTGAGATACAGTGACAGAGACAGAGACACAGGGAGACAGGGGGAGACAGAGGGAAAGGGACAGAAACATAGAGACACACTTACATACCAACAGAGAGAGACCAGGAGAGTGTCAGAGACTTGGCAAGTCTGGTCACAGTGGTCCAAATCTCATGGCACAATTAGGGCCACTGCCAGCCCAAATGTCTCTTTTGAGCAAGTTAGGAAAGGTACCCTTTGGGGGGATGCTACTCCTCCCAGGGCCTGGTGAGTGAGTCCAGTGCACTGGGGTTCAGTCCCGCTGGCCCTTTGGCTGAGTTTGCGTGCTGGTGCAGAAGGGTCTGAGGAGGCTGTACCCTGATGTCTCTACTGGGGGGAAAAGGCAATGCTGCAATGCTCCTAGTCCTCTGGCCGCCCCACAGGCCTGGCCCTCCACTGTTCTCTGAGGCCTTTCAGGAATGCTTGGGCTCTCCCCATTCTGACCTTGACAGGAGCCCAGCGCTCTGCATCACCCTCGGGGCCTTCCCCACAGCACATCCTTGGGTCACGTCACCTCTGCCTTCACCACCCAGGAGCATCAATCCAGGCCCATCCACAAAACCAGCCCGGGATGCTGTGTGGCTGGGAAGAGGCGCTCAGGCCCACTCCAGCATGCAGACCCCCTTCCTGCTCCAGGGACAGCACCTGGAGCTGGAGGGACAACCCCACACTTCCCAGCCTCACAGACCCCAGCAGTGAGGTTTCTCCTCACCCCCACCCCCCATCCGGGTGCTCCCAGGGAAGCCCTGCAAGGCCCCACCTTTCCCATCAGAGAACACTCTGGGAGGAGGAAATGATTAACAGGGCAATTAGGGCACAGGTGAGTCATCTGGTCACAAGGCCGCCTCCTGGCTGACTCAGGGGGACAGTCCAGATGGGCCCTTCCACTCAGCCCCAACTCAGGGTATGAGTCAAGCACTCCATGGGCTCTGGCTAGGAAGACAGGAGAAAGCCCCGCCCCCACCCCGCCCTCTCCAGGCTCCACCCACACCCTGCAGGCTTGGGGACAGAGGCCGGGATTCCCATCTTCACTGGGCTGGCCTGGGCCAGGGTAGGGGACCATGCTGCTACAGTTTCCGTCTCCCCATGTCAAGCATGTGGCCCCAGGGCCGGCCACCCAACCAACAGCTGTTGTTATCAATCACAGGGATTAATAAGAATGGCCATCAGGTTCTGATATTGAACTTCAGCTCTGTAACAGGCCTCAGGATAGACATAGTGGGAACCCATGAGGACCATCAGACAAGTTTTAGCAGTCATGTTAAAAAGAGCTGGGGACAGAGAGCTCTTTTTCTCATACATCGGCTGCAGGGTCTCAGCCCGGACCCAGGCAGAAAGGAATGAACAGGGACCCCACAGGGAAGCCAGCAGGACCTTCTGGTGAACGGCACCTCCTGGTGTCCAAACTAGGCCTGGCCCTGCTGTCCATCTGATCTCTGGGAAGCCAGGTGTGTGAGTCGCCTTCGCTGGCCATAGGGCCTGTTATTAAGCACCCTTTCCCAAGTCTACCCTTACTTTTGAGATTAGGCTACATTGGATGCCAGGGACCCCTGGCCTACCCAGCCCGGCCCTCCTGAGATAGATCCCCCGTCCCAGGGCCTGTTTCCTGGCTTTGTCCTTGGGCTGGCTGGGCAGGAACTTCCTGCTGGAGAATTCCCGGATCCTCCCTAGGAGGCTACAGCTTGGCCTGGGAACTTGGGGAGGGAGGGAAGTCAGGGACACCCCTCTTAACAGGGGCAGGGCTTGTGGGCAGCAGGGTTCCCCTGGCACTTTGGGCCCTGGGTCGTTCCCCAGCCCCAGGTCAGGCCCACCATCTCCTGCCCTCTCTGCTGAGATGCTCTGCTGCGGCCCTCGCAGCCCCATGGGCACAGACGGGATGGATCTAGACCTCAGATAGACTGGGTTTGCTCCAGGGTTGAAGATTGTTGCGGGGCGGGGTCCAAAGTGAGGCCAGAGTCAAAGCAGATTTTTATTAATAACATCCCAGCTCTGACTGGCTGGGTGGGACAGAATTCGGGGCGGGCTCACCCTAAGACATGGACACTGTGTCTCCAGACCCGCTGGCTACAGCGGCTCCTTAGATGTGTCCTAAGAAGAGATAGACCCCTGTGTACCAGCTCCAGGGATCTGGGCAGGGAAGACTCGGGGCCAGTTTCCCATTTCATCCTTCTCCTCAAAAAATAGGCACTGGGGGGGCAGAAATTGGTGAATGAACATGCCTCAGTCTACTCTGCACCCCAGAACCTCCCCACTGGTCCCCAGAGACAAGCACCCGAGGCCACCTTTCCCCCACCTCCCCTCAGCTGGCACAGCCCCTGCCACAAAATGGAGCATGCTTTCTCCCTCCAACTTGGGAGGTTCCTTGGAAGCCCCAGGAGTCAGCACTGCTGGGATTACAGGTATGAGCCACCATACCCAGTCCCAGCTGGCCTGTGTTTCTGATAGGCGCTGCTCCAAAGTGAATCACACGGTGTGAAGCCCCCCACAAGGGAGTGCCTTTGCAGCTTACAGCTCCACACCCATCATCTCAGGAAGCCCTTGCAACAGCCCCTTTCATGGGTAAAGAAACTGAGGCCTCTACTCAACATCACAGAGCAAGCTGATGCCAGACTAAGTCCTCTGGCCTCCAAACCCCTTGCCCTTTTCTTTTGTAAGCTACACAGACTGTCAAGGCAATTGTCCACTGAATAAAAGATGATGAATGGATGGAAATTAACCAAAAAGGGCATCGACACATTTTCAACAGATCTATCAATGTGCACTCAGAGAAGCTGAGACAGGCCTAACCTTTAAAGGCCGATGTCGAGGAGGGGGAGCAGCAGGATGGTACTCCATCTGACCCAGTGCGGTCGCTGCCCTGAGCCGATGTGTATTTGTGGGAGTGGACGAGGATGGGAAAATGGCAGCATCATGTGACTTTTCAGATGCACAGGAAAGCCTTACAGCTCGTCTAGACAAATTCACTCATATTACAGGTGAAGAAACTGAGGCTCAGAAAGAGGAAGGGACTTGCCCAAGGCTATACAGTAAATGAATAGCAAAGTTGAGACCCAAAAAATGGACATTGTGACTGTGACTCAAGTGAGAAACAGAGACTGATGGAGAAAAGAGGGTGTGTGTGTGTGTGTGTGTGTGTGTGTGTGTGTGTGTGTGTGTGCAGTGTGTACTCAGGGGGCCAGGGTCTTGAATTCAGAAATACAACCACCAAGAAGGCATGAGGCCTACCTGCGTACCCTAGCCAGCCAGTAGGGCTAGAGCCCAGAGGGGATGGCAAGCCCCCAGCCCCACTTCTCCAGTGCCCTCAGGCAGCAGCTGGTGGTCTGGCACGTGCCAGGCATACCTGACCCACAATGCCCGCCTCCTTCAGGGTGATCTCTGGCCAGGTCAGCAGCTCTTGGCCCTCTTGGCCACCTAGCTTCCAGAGGCGGGACTCTTGCTGCATTCCCAGAAGCTTCTTTAACTCCGACTCCAGGAAACCTGAGAGCCAGAGAGATGGCAGGGGACAGGCAGGAGGAGGCGGGAGCAGCCTGCTGGGAACCCAAGGACCCATAGGTGCAACTGCTCCCTGAGCCTCATCCCACCTCTGTGTGGTCCCTGCTCAGCCACAGCCCTTTCTTCTTCCAGGACCTGGAGCCAGCCAGGCATTACCCCTCCTTCGCCCTCCCTCCCCAAGGAAGCTCACTCTCCGAGGGCCTCCTCCTGCAGCGGCAGCATGAGAGCCTGAGTCTTCACCCTCTGCAGACAGCACTCAAGGGCAGGTATCTACCCCCACACCAACCGACTCAAGAGCCTGGATCTGGAACCCAAACTGCCTGCACTCAAGACCCAGCTCTGCCCAGCACTGGCCGTGTGACATCGGACAAGTTCTCACTGTGAAGTGGAAATGGCAGCAGGACCTATCTCAGAGTTTTAACGCAGTACTTTATGAAGAATGCTTAAAGAGGGTGTGCCGGAGTAATGGCTGTGTAAATATGAACCACAATTTTCATCATATTATGATATTGTGAATGCTGTCATCACTAGCCCAGCTGCTGCCCATGTCTGTGCTGCCCAGGGCTCTACTGGGAGAGAGGACCCTCTGGGGCTCTGTCAGCAGTGCATGATGGGAAAACCAGGGATGGAGGCAGCCACTGAAGGCGTTAGAAACCTCCAGGCTAGGGAAAGGGTGGTGCTTGAGTAGTACCACCCCCCAGTCACCACCTCTCAAACCCTGGCTACACCTCCGGCTCAGGTGGTCATCTTAGGTCCTCTGGTGCCACCTGGTGGTAACTTCTGGTATTGCACCCTGAACCTCCAGCCAAAGAGAGGCTTCCTCGGCCTTATCCTTCATTTTCTTTTCCTTGCCCTTCTCACCGGGCAAACCTTCCTGGAGAGGAGGCTGAGGGCCAGCTGGTCTCTGAGCAGGTGAGTAGGCCCAGGACCCCACGCCTGCAGCCCTACCCGACCCCTAGGCAAGACAGGAAGCAGGAGGGAACATCTCCCAAAAGGTTAAGAAAGGGGACTGCTCCCTCTGGGCCCAGACCACATATCCTGAGCCCGATGTGGGAAAGGCCCCAAACCATGCCTCACACCCCCATCACCCCCAGACCTTGGCCATGGTCGAGTTTGGAAGCTCCTTGTATGAACTGTGGAAGCAGTTCCAGGGAGTCACCTCCTCCTTGGAAGAGCCCAGCTCGAGGTCTCCTGTGAAAGGAGTGGTGGTCATTGACAGGCCAGCAGCCAGTGGGTGGTCCAGACTTGGAGGGCAGGCACATGGGGGCTGAGCTCTGGGTGAGGTTGCCCTGTTTTGTTTCTTTTTCTTTTCTTTTTTTTCTGAGACAGAGTCTGTCTGTTGCCCAGGCTGGAGTGCAATGGTGTGATCTAGGCTCACGGTAACCTCCACCTCCTGGGTTCAAGCAATTCTGCCTCAGCTTCCAAGCAGCTGTTAACGGTGCCTGCCACGATACCCGGCTAATTTTTGGTAATTTTAGTAGAGATGGGGTTTCACTATGCTGGCCAGGCTGGTCTCAAACTCCCGCCTCAGGCAATCCACCCGCCTTGGCCTCCCAAAGTGCTGGGATTACAGGAATGAGCCACCATGTCCAACCTCCTTTTTTTTTTTTTTTTGAGATGGAGTCTCACTTTCTTGTCCAGGCTGGAGTGCAATGGCATTGTGTCGGCTCACTGCAGCCTCTGTCTCCTAGGTTCAAGTGATTCTCCTGCCTCAGCCTCCCAAGTAGCTGGGATTACAGGCTCCTACTATCATGCCCAGCTAATTTTTATATTTTTAGTAAAGACAGGGTTTCACTATGCTGGCCAGGCTGGTCTGGAACTCCTGACCTCAGGTGATCTGCCCGCCCCAGCCTCCCAAAGTGCTAGGATTACAAGCATGAACCACCGTGCCTGGATCCCTGTTTTCTTTAGCAAATGCCTACTGTGTGCCACACACTGTTCTGGGCATTTTACAAAGAGCATCTCAGCGCATCCTTGCAACTTCCCTCAAAGGTAGGTACTATTATATTCCCATTTTAAGGACAAGGAAACAGATGCAGAGAAGTTGAGCAGCCTGCCACCCATCACACCGCTCAGCACAGCAGAATTGGTGTTTGAACCCAGGCAGTCTGATTCCAGCAGTCCCTCAAAGTATGTCCTGTGCCCTACCAGGCCCTGCACCCCTATGAAGTCCTACAAGAAGAGGGTCCATTCCTGGTGCTTCCCCTATGCCTATGGCCACTATACTCACCTTCAAGCCGACACTCCTCCTCCCTGGTGGAGGCCTCGGGGCTGACCTCATGGGGCCCCATGGCTCTCTGCAGGTATTCGTCCTTCATTTTTGTGACCAGAACAAACTTGACCCCAATCCTAAAGCACAGTCAGGTTGAGGAGGCAGGTGGGGCTCAAAGATGTGGTATCGACCCCTAAATCTCCTCCAAGGCTCACCCACAGGCCTGCTGGCCCTCTCCATCCTCCCTCTCCCATCAGCCTCCTGCTTTGCCACCCGGAGTTTTCATTAAAGAGATGGGTTTATCTCTCTCAAAAGTAGGGTGATGAGTGGGTGGGGAACAGAGAGAGAGGTGGGTCTCTGTCCTCACAGGGGATGGCACTAGGCCTTCAGAAGGAGCTGGGAGTGACAGGACCCCCAGCGGACCCCCCCCGCCCCCGCACATCCTCTTCCTACTGCCTAGCCCATCCCTTTTCATGTCTGGTATCCACCATCCACAGCCCCTCACTTATGGGAGGACCCCTGTTTCTGCCTCCTCCCCACCCAAACCCCCATCTCCATCCTCCTCCCCCACCCAAACCCCCATCTCCAGCCTCCTAACCATCTGATGCTTCTGTCCATTGGCCTCACCCACATCTCCCTGTCCTTCCCCACCAGGTGGCCTGTCCCAGGCCCTTATTCAAGGACTCCCTCCCCAGACCCTCCCCAGCTCGGGTTCCCCATCTCAGGCCCATGTCCTTTCCCCATCTCATGTCCAGGCCTTTTCCCAGTATCTCCGTCCTAGGCCTTGCCCACCTGGGTACCCTCCCAATTCCAGCCCCTCACCTGTATGAGGCTCCTGTTTTCCCAGAGGCCTCCCCTGCTGGCTCTTTCCCCTCCTTTTCAGCCAGGTTGCCTGATGCCTCCTGGCTTGCTGTGGGCAGAACTGACTTCACCTCTACCCCTTGGGCCTCCTTGCACCTGTGAGTATAGGTTTCCATATCCAACATGCTCGGCTCGGAGGGAACCTGCTGTGGCAGGTGTGAGAAGCCCCTGGGCACAGCCACAGAGAAGGCGTGGGGTGGCAAGGCAGATGTCCCCGGCCCCCTCCTCCTTGAACGTCCCTCTCAGCTCATGGTCAGGGAAATGGCACCCCGGTCTGGCAAGGAGTGTGCCTGGGCCCCTGCCTCAGCCTTGTCAGAGCTCCTCCAGCTGACCTTGCGCCCCACGAGGGCACGGAAAAAGCGGAACATGGAGGTGCAGCCCGATTTTCGAGATTGGGGCTTTGGAGATGGGGCCTCCATCCTGAGAGGGTCCCCAACTCAGAACCTGTAGTAGACACCCCAGGACCAACTGCTTAAGAACAGGAGGAGTTTTCAAATGAAAACTGCCAGTTGGAAACTTCCCAGAATTCTAAAAGGCAAAGATGGGGGAGCAGTGGGGTTGGGGGAGATTAGTTGGAGGTAGAGGGGGCAGGCAGTTGATGAAGCAGGGAAGGAGGTGTGGGGGGCAGGGAGGGGTTTCAGTGGGCAGGCAAGAGGTTTGGGGGACAGGGGAGTGAAGACTTGGAGGAGAAGATGTGAGAGCCCCAGGAAGCTTGGCAGGGAGTGGACAGGGAGAGGTGGGGAGGGCACTGGACGCTGAGGGAAGGGGGCTGTTGAGGACTGCTCACATCTCTGTCCTTCTTTGGTTTCTTCTGTCCTCATGAACACTCCCAGACCATATCTTTCTTCTCTCTTAGCATCCAGGATATTTTTTTTTTTCAGATGGAGTTTTGCTCTTTTTGCCCAGGCTGGAGTGCAGTGGAGCAACCTCAGCTCACTGCAACCTCCACCTCCCGGGTTCAAGCAATTCTCCTGCCTCAGCCTCCCAAGTAGGTGGAATTACAGGTACCCGACACCATGCCGACTAATTTTTGTTTTTAGACAGAGTTTCACTCTTGTTGCCTAGGCTGGAGTGCAACGGTGCAATCTCCGTTCACCACAACCTCTGCCTCCCGGTTCAACTGATACTCCTGCCTCAGCCTCCTGAGTAGCTGGGATTACAGGCATGTGCCACCATGCCTGGCTTTTGTATTTTTAGTAGAGTAGGGGTTTCACCACTTTGGTCAGGCTGGTTTTGAACTACCAACCTCAGGTGATCCGTCTGCCTCTGCCTCCCAGAGTGCTGGGATTACAGGTGTGAGGCACTGCACCCAGCCGACCCTGGATTTTTTATTGGTATTGATTGATGTAGAGGTGGATGAGAATATCAAATACAAGGATTAAGAATCAGGGATGGGCCGAGCACAGTGGCTCACGCCTGTAATCCTAACATTTTGGGAGGCCAAGGTGGGCAGATCACCTGAGGTCGGGAGTTCAAGACCAGCCTGACCAACATGGAGAAACCCTGTCTCTACTAAAACTACAAAATTATCCAGGCGTGGTGGCGCATGCCTGTAATCCCAGCTACTTGGGAGGGTGAGGCAGGAGAATCGCTTGAACCCGGGTGGCGGAGATTGAGGTGAGCTGAGATCACGTCATTGTTCTCCAGCCGAGATCACGTCATTATTCTCCAGCCTGGGCAACAAGAGCAAAACTCCATCTCAAAAAAAAAAAAAAAAAAAAAAAAGAATCAGGGGTGGGAACAGCAGTGGGCCACTGAGAGCCGCTCGGACGTGGGGCGGGGAAAGTGGGCGGGAGCTGCTCTTGTGCCTGGCCCACCCAAAGCACCCCTCCTGGCTGTCGGCCTGAGCGTCTGCATCCGGCGGCCACAGAGCAACTTCCTCTAGAGGGAGCTGATTGAAGCCGGGTGCAGCTGGCACCTCTATGATCACTGGAGTCTTGCGGGTCCCTCAGGCTGCACAGGGACAAGCAAAGGCTACATCCAGA